CAGAGCTGGGGGGAATGTTTGTTATGTTTGCAAACCGTCTCGCATACCCGCTTTCAACTCTAATGTAGGTCATTAGAGGTTATTACTTATACACAAATGGGCAGGTTGTGAGTCACACGCTGACTGCCATTGAAAGATGTTGTTTTGGGTTTAGTTTATAATTAGATGGTGGATGGCATTGTTTGCTCATTCACTGTTGCACATTGATAGACAGCCACAGAAAGAGATAGAGCTGCTGTCCAGAGTAAGAGAGTGGTAGAGAGAAGGAGAGAGTGAGTGAGAGTGAGACTTCCATTTGTCACGATTTTGCTTATTTTTAGCAAACTTACGACTGTTCGATTTATTGACGTAGGGGTAAAAGAGAATTGTACCGCGCGAAGCGATAAGAAATATTATATAGACAGCATTGTGCATACGGCTGATTAAATACACCAACTAGCTAGTCAAGTATTTCCATAAATATGTGAAGGGACTAATTATACCCGGAACTTCTCAGAGCCTCTAAGAGCAAGACACACCCAAATTTGGTAAATATAGTATAAATATATAAATTGGCTTTGCCATTAAATTACTCTCTGACTATTCTCTTCACCTTGACATTGTTCAAACTATCCAGTATTAAAGCTTAATATACCATATTCATTACAATAAGTTGATCCGATTCCATATTGATCGCATTTGTTCCGATTTATTATATAAATACATACATATACTTTACAAATGCTATATTATAGGGATGAGCAATTAATATGTGCTTCAGCTTCGGAATCTATTTCAAATTTTCATAAATTTTCTCATTCTTTGTGCCACCCAATGTTGAGCTCCATTTAAATTCACAATTTTCTTATCAATATGTCGTTAAGTTGAGAGCATTCAAATGCCAAAGTTATGAGTCAAAGGTGCAACGCAATGCGGTATGTCAATTACCCGCAAATATCGGTCAGGCTGTGCACACGCCCATAAAAATGTACAATATTTACCTTGTAAATGTTTCCATTTGCGTGTGAAACAAAGAAATTGATTGCTGCAGCTGGTCACAGTGTATTTTTATAGGCCCAATTTAAGGGGAGAGTGGAACTATCACAGACACTTGTCGCGCAACAGCTGCCACCTTTGGGTGGGCATAGATAAGGGGCAAGCAGGGGTACTCAGTGTGAAGAAGCGTGTGAAAATGACGCCAGTGGCAAACAAAAGAAATCCAAGCGAGATAGATTTCTTATCTCTTGACTGTTTGACTTAACTAAACCGATTCTCCGCCTCCGCTCTCTTCACTTTCAGGCCGCCATACGACTGGATGAGCCCGCGGCTAAGGTTAATCATATTAAAGGCCAGCAGGAGGAGTGCGAACTGAAGCTGGAAAAGGAGCGTGATGCGTGGGCGGCACAAATGCTGGAGCTTATAGCCAAAGAGGACGAGATTGTCAGCTGCATACGTGACTATGTGCTCAACCAAAGAAACTATCATGAACGTGCGCTGCAGCATGTGAATGAATCGCTGGCGCGCATTCAGGATACCATACAGGGCACGGAGAAATCGCGATTTGGCACCTCGCTCAAAGAGCATCTGCAGTCGACACACCGCGACATCTCCTACATTGTGGAGCTGTGCTGCTGTTGCCTGCTAGAACATGGCCTAGAGGAGGAGGGTCTGTTGCGAGTAGGCTGTGCCAGCACCAAACTGCGGCGCATGAAGCACGCACTGGAGGCTCAGCATGTGAAAACACCCCTGCCACTGGAGTATCAGGATCCGCATGTCATTGGTTCCATATTGAAGCTGTATTTGCGCGAATTGCCCGAGCCACTGCTCACATATGCGTTATACAAGGATTTTATACGCATTGCGGAGCGGCACACCGAGGCGGAGCGCAAGACGGAGATTAAAGCAATATTGGGCAAACTGCCCCAGGAGAACTATGCCAATCTGCGCTACCTCACACGCTTTCTGGCGCTGCTACAGCAGCGGGCCGTGCACAATAAGATGAGCTCCCAGAATTTGGCGATTGTCATGTCACCGAACATGCTCTGGCCGCGCGTCGACAAGACCAGCAATGCCCCAGCCGATTACATTGGCCAGGTGAACAGCTCCTCGGCAGCAAACATTATTGTGGAGCTGCTCATCAGTCAGTGGGAATATTTTTTTGATGGCGATGTCGAGTTCTATGTAACGCTGCAGCGACAAAAACTGTTTGTCGAAGGTAAAAGCAAATCGAATTCCTCAAATGAGCATTTGGATAAGCACGATAGTGGTGAGTACTGAGGCAACCAACCATTCGGTAACCCTTTTAACTCTCTGCTTGTCATCCCAGAAGTCATGGAGAGTCCGCGCTATGGCACACTGCGTCGCCAGAAACCCAATGCGCCCTCGCCGCCTACCAAAACAGAGGCAACAAGCAATGGCGTTGGCTCCAACCATCGTCCGCATGCCAAGGAGCTGTTCCCGCAGCAGGACGAAAAGCCGGAGAAGCAGGAGAAGCCAGCAAAGCCGCCGCTGCCCAATCTGGCGCAGTTCCAGCAGCCGACAGCGTCCAGCCAGCCAACGCACACACAGCTGGAGGCGTTGCCGCCGCCGCCAGCGACGCCCGCTAAGCCCGTACCCATGACGCGCACACAGTTCTTTGGCTTGGATAATCTGCCCTCGCCCACGGCGGATCGCAGGAGCATCGATAGCATTGGCAGCTTTCGCTTAAAGCCAGATGTGCCACAAAAGCCGCAGCTGCCCAAGCGACCCATGGTGCTGGCAGTGGGCAGCGGTGGGCCAAAGGGCGACAGTAAAAGCGACGATGAGGCCATAACACCCACGCAGGCGATCATTGACAATGGCAATGGCAATGTGCGCTACACCACGGAGAAGTTTATAGAGAAACTGCGACACGAAAATTGTGATACAAATGGCACGCGAGAGGAGGCGACAACGGGGGCACCAACGAACACAACAACTAACACAACAACAAATACAACTACAACAGCAACAAGCACAGCAGGCAGGGAGCACAACCATAATCATGAACAGCCGCTAACAGCGGGAGATAAGGAGCAGCAGCATACCACGCCTACCACACCCATATCGCCAAACTCATTTCAAACGCCCAAAAGGCCAACGGTGCCAGCGCCGCCGCCGCCAACAATACGCAAACAGGCGGATTAATTATAGTTAATAGCGAATCCTTAGTTAACCGGTGGCGCTTTCTATATGTTAACCCTAAGACTTGAACGCACATTAATTTAGTTAAAACAAAGCCTTTCAATAAGTCGCATTAAATATATATAAATATATATATACATATATATATATATATATATAGAGTGAAAGCAACTTAATTCTGTATTCAGCATTTGTATTCTTTGCAATTTAAACTGTATGTGTTTTATTTTAGCCATATGTTAAAAGATATACATAAACGATATATACATATATATATATATTATAAACATATATTAGTCTGTAGTAGGCATTCATGAATTAACTCAATTTTGTCGAAATTTCACGCGAAAAATGTTCGTATTTAAAGAAAAAAAAAATTATTGTTATCCTTATTTAAAAGGTTGTGATACACAGAAAAAAAGAAAAATGAAGGTTTGTGTTTCCTTAACTTTCCGTTGCTCTTGTTTCCCAATTTCTAAAAGACAATTTCTAATGTGATTTGAAATTTGAAATTTGTTGCCTTTGTTTTAAAATTTTTGTTACGCTTTGTACTTGCTACCAGCTATTCTTTCCAGTTCGAAAAGAAGTAAAGCAAAACTCGAGCGTATTTTCTATGTACATATAGTATATATTTTTGATTGAGGTCTTATCAATTTTAATTTGATGTACTCTGTATTTTTGCTTTATTAATTTGTAATGCAACTATTATTATTATTTTAATCTATAATAAATTGATGTATGAATATTTGTTGTGTATATAAAATATACATTAAAAAGTCATTTATGAGTTCATAAACGAAATTTTTTACAAATTTTATTTTGTATATTTATATTTGTAGGCTGCAATCGTGAATAGAATATAGCTGAGCGTTTATTCAGGGCATATAAAAAATTAATATATGTGAACACAATATTGTAAAAGAAATATGTATGAGAAAAATCAAAATAATCAACTTGGTTGTAAGATATATAGATCTAGAAGGAACCTATATAGCTTTTTATAAGCTTATAGGCAGTTCTACAGAACTCTCTGAAAGATCTATATAAACTGCTAGTAACCAGTTGTCGGCGTTGATCTGCGTAAAACTATTAAGCAATATTATTTTCCTACCTACAAACAGCTCTCTTTAAATTTGTCCTACAATTTATTTTGTATATCTTTTCCTTTTGGTCGTTTTAAAATATACCATTTCTAAGCTGAACCAGTTAAGAGCCAGGCACAATTAAGTCTAAGATATGCTATTATCTAAACATTTTCAATTTCAAAGTAACCTCAGAAGAACATGGATAAATCTAAATATTTGTGCCATAATAGAATTGAATACCTGAGCAAACATTTCTAAGAAAAGTAGAAATTTAACTAAAACAAAGAACTTGCACCGTACAACTTAACACTATCTATCATATCTATACAAACACACTATATTTTCCCACACAAAAAATAAAGCAAGTAATGACTTCTATATAGACGCTAAAAACTGAAAGCAAGTGAAAGTAATTATAAATTTTATATAAAACTTGCAATTGCTAACGATTTAAAAAAAAAACTGACCAATTGAAATGAAAAAAAGAAAACAAAAGGCAAAAATCGTAAATATAGTATTTTAGTAAGCTGAAAAGTTCATATAATGTTGAGAAATTTTTGAAATATATATTCTGCTACAATACTTGAATAAAAACGCTCGAAAATTTTTCAGCATAAACGATTGTTGTATTTTAAGAAAATCATATACAATATGATTAAGCAAATATATTATAATATATTAAATCCATTTAGCACGTAAGAACGTACTATAATAGTACATAGTATGATATCAGATAATTTAAAAAAAAAAAATGCTATATGTCTTAGTTGTAAGCTAGCTTATGGAGCTGTCTGCAGCGCTACAAAAATCAGGCGAGGCATGGGCGCCTGTGATGTTAAGGAAGTACAGAAGCTGATGGGAGTTGCCTGCTGATGGTTTGATGGCATTTTCTGAAACTTTTTGTACTGCCTGTTGTTCTGGCTGCTCCTTAGTTTCCAGCTCACGCACATAATCCATAAAGTTATCGACATTCAGAGGCGTCTCTGCGGCTTGCTTTGCATTGCCGCCCGCTTGGAGCTTACTTTGAAATTCGCTGCGATAATAATCATTAATCATGGACATCATGCTCTTGGAATACCTAGTGAGTAGGAAATGCCATAAGAAATATTTACACAATAATATATATAGTTTAGCTGTACCAGTAGATGATGCCTATAAGTAGCATGCCCTGCATAAATGGGCCCACCATTTTGTTCTCTCAAATTTTTACTCAAGTTTTTCTCTAGTTCTATTGTTGCTGTTGCTGTTCACCAAAGCTTTCCCACCATTGATTTAGCATATAGAACTGTTCCCTAATATTCGGCCAGGCCATGGTCACAATTAACATTACGGTGTTTGCGAAGACAAAGAGTTTCATCATCTCAAATGCTGAGAGAAGCGAGAAAAAGGATCAAATAAATAGGCATACTTTGAATTTATGTTTTTTTTTGGGCATTTACAGACCCTCCGGCGTGCGCAGATAATCCCCAAAGCCGGAATTCAGATCCTGGTCTTGCTCATCCTTGTGCTCATGCAGCTGTTGATCCTTGTTACCCTTGCTTTTGTCCTCCGCCTTGTCCTTGTGGCCGCCGTGTCCGTGACCGTGACCTTTGCCGTGTCCGCTCTGCTTGTGCTTACCGTAGCCTGTTGATGTATTGGCAAAGGCAGATTTCTTGGATTTCATTGCATCCAAATGGAACACAAACAGCAGTTGCTCGTGGTCTGATTATCCTTGTATACGACGTCTGTTGGCCACGTCCCAACGACACCAAAGCTGCTCCAACAATGACAAGTCGCCACATTTTGTGGCCCTCTGCTGGGAGTCTTGGCAATTTTATGGTTTCGTTTTTATCGATTTGCAATTGTCACTAGTTCTTTTTGTGGGGGGCAGGGAAAATCAGGTGAATTTACGGGCACAAAAAGACTGTCAGTAGAGCAATGCGCTTAAAATATCTATGCCTATTATTTTGGTGTCAGCACAGGGCGGGGGGAATGTACGAGGGCCGGGCTTGCCGGGTGTGTTAACAAAGTTCTGAACATGTATGGTATACATATGTATAGATATATTTGATTATAATATCAATATCATCTAATTTAATTCGCACTCTTTGATTAGATTCATAAACATTTGAAAATTCTTTGAGGTAAAGGCAGAGGAATATTCCTACACATTATTATTTGCAATTAATATGTGAATTTAGAAAGGAATTTTAAGAGAGGTTCTTAGCCTGAGACTCTTTTAGTTTACTATTTTATATAACTAATTTAAATGCTATACTGTAAAAACTTGTGTTCAAAGTTAACCTAACCTAAAAGTTAACGCCATATCCATTTACCATGCCTGGGATTCAAACTCAGGTCCTCGCTACTTTGGGACCCACCCAGTTCATTTAGACAACTCGTCAGTCAAGGTTTATAGATAATCACAAATTTATTCCTAGCTAAGCTAAGCTAAGTAATTCTAGGGATAATATTTAACTATTACTCAGTACAATTTTCTAACTATCACATATTACAAATGCGTGCTGTAGCAGTCAGCTTCCTTGTGCTGCTGCTGCTCCTGCTCCTGCTCCGGCTCCTGCCTTGCCTTGAGGGGCGTGCTCAGGCAGCAAGTGCAAATGCCGCCCAGAATAACCAGCACACAGAAAGTGGACAGAGAGAGGGCAATGTTGAGCTGCTTGAGCAACGTGAGAAACGAGGCAGAGAGCAGCCAGACACGCGCCCAGGTGACCACCGAGAAGGCAAAGGGGCCACGTTTCTCCGGCGGCAGAGATTCACCCATGCAGGCGATGAGCATGGACTGGGCGCAGGATACGCCCGCCTTGGGCAGGGCGGCAAAGAACATCCACAGGATAATCTCATAGACTTCGGGCACTGAAAGCTGCAGAGGATTAGTCATGCTTAAGTTGCGTAAATATTTGTATATTTAAAAACCCACTCTGCACATCATTGAAGAACCAGCACAGACAGCCAATGGCCCCGCCCACAATGCAGAAGCCACCCGCCCACTGCCACTTGCGGGAGTTGTGCCTCAGGCACAAGTAGACGGCCAGCAGGCAGCCAAGCAGCTCCGATAGACCTATGACCATGGTATTGGGCGTCAAGTAGTCACGGCCAAAGGAGCGTATATTCAGCAGCAGACCCATGTGGCTGATCAGAAACGTGGCCAGTGCCATGTGCGTGGCCAGCATATGTAGCTTGGCCTGCGGATGGCCATGCCAGAGCTCCAGCCAGCGTACGGGTGCGGGCTGAGTGCGCAGCCGCTCGCTTAGCAGCTCCAGCTGCTGACCGAGATCCCTGGTCAGCCGGTGGCGGCGTTCGTTGATGCGTGCCGCGTGCTGCAGCAGCTGCTGGACATGCTCGACGGCAGCCGTTGGCTCCGCATGCTGCAGCAGCCAGCGCGGCGAGTCCGGCAGCCAGGGCAGCAGTAGCACAATGGCAAATGGCAGCGAGGTAATGCCCACATAGATCTGTCGCCAGCTGTGAGCAAATGCAGCAATGGCGGGCAGCAGGATGACGCCAATGGACCAGAAGCTGTCATAGAGCAGCAGCACGCCCTGCCGCCACTTGCCCGCCGTAATGTCGCTAACTGGAAAGGAGAAGAATGGAGGTTGCTAAAGAGCCTGATTTGGGCTTCAAGCTGTGTCTGTACCCACATATAACCTGCCCGGCTGTCATCATGAAGCAGCAGCAGATCGCGGACAGGCAGCGAAAGGAGCAGTGCAAACTGAAATCGTTGACCAGCCCGGTGGCTGTGCCGCAGCCGAGCAGGCCCCAAATGCCGGCTATGTAGACCCGACGTGGACTGAGCACACGCATCAGCCGGGTGGCCACAACGCCGCCGACAAACATGCCGAACAGATGCCAATACTGCGACCAGGCCACAAAGATATCACACAGGCAGACCAAGTCGAATTCCATGATGAGCGAGCGAAAGCCGTGGGCATAGTTGAATTGCTGGCACTGACGCATGGCAAAGTTGGCCTCACCATAGGCGACCAGCACATAGCACTGATCCGCCGAGACGCTGGTGTTCTCCATGCCGCCATAGACGCTCGTGTCACACCAATACTCCTCATTCGGATACAGTTCCGGCGCCGTGAAAATGATTAGGGCCATGAACCAGGCAGCGGGTAGCTTGCACAGAAATATGATCAGCACAGAGCGCAGCTGCCAGATGCCAAAGTCGCCCAGCAACTGCCCGATGATATCCTTCCCGTCCCCAGTTGTTGGAGTTGGTGCCACATCCTGCTCCACATTCGGGCTTATCGGGGCATGTGTCTCGGGCGTGTGCGCTTTCCTCCCGTTCATGCTTCAGCTGCGTACATATATAATCCAGTAGCCACGTCTGGTGGGTTTCAAACCTCCAGCATAACTGCGACTGCGCTAGCGCTTGGCGCAGCCAGCTGAGCGTCTGGACAATTGCGGAGCAGTGGCCACAGTTGGTGCTAGTCAACGATATCGTCGCTAATCAAATTGTCACTGAAATTAAATTCAGGTGTCTTCAATTGTTCGCCCATTGCAAATAGCGAATGCTCCTAAACGATTATGTCAATAGGAATGGTTTTCCATTAGGGCTATAATACTATAGACACAAACTTTTGCCAGACACTGTGAATCATTTCGCGTGACGTCCTTTGTGTTTGGTAAACATTATTTTTGAAAATAATTCTTTATTTAATCTATTTGTAATGTTTAAGGATTTGGTAATGATCTCAGCAAATAATTCCTATTCAAAATTTACTAAAGTTTATGCTCTCGGTTTACTCAATAGAAGGAGAAGAAGGACTATCCGTCTAGGCCCTCAGTTATTTAAGGACTTTTCTTTCTTATTGGCTTATCTTAGTTATATTCTCAATATTTGTATTATCAATATTAATGTATTTTTAAATTAAAATACTTCTCAAGGCTTTCACTTGAGAAACTCTCAAAATGTGATTTTATTTGTGGGATGCTTCTCTAATCTAATCGATTTAATCTGTTATTTATTAAAAAGCTTCTCTTACTTTCATTTAAAGATCTAACGAATCAGTTTCTTAGGTAATATCTGTTGATTTACCGCATATATAGATATATATGTACAGTTAGATATATTTATAAATACGATTATTGGCCAGCCAAAAAACTTGTTAGTCTTTAAGATAGTTTTATAAAAGGCAGTTATTACCTGGTATATATTGGGTCACCGTAATATTTTATCTATTCATAGGAGCAGGAAAGTGATAGAGCCTACAATCTTTGGAAAACCTCATAGTAGAAACGGCGAGAGTTTTCAGCCATGCTTAAAGCTCTTTTAGCCGAGACTCCAACCTTCAGTTTCTTACAACGCCACCTAGCGGATTTACAATCAACTAGAACCAATGGGGTTTCATGTGGGTCTATCTAAAAAATCTCTGTATGATTTGAGCCTATATTATGTAATTGAAAAGATAAAACAAATTTCAGTTCGATCCATAAGAATATCAAATTTCTGTTATTTCGTTATAGGAAACTTTATTTATAAATATTACACCAAAATTGAATACACTCGTAGATACTAAAATAAAAATAATAAATATTAGTTAAGTTCTTAGAAAGATAGAAATTTTTTTTGTTAAACCAGATAATATATTTTTCTTTAAAAATGATAGATTATGGTATTTTTTGTTATTTCCAAGAGTTTTTCGATCGCTCTCATTCTCAAAGATTTAAGTTTTATTAAGGAATCTAAAGGCAAAATATGATATAACATACTATTGAGGTTACGTTGGGGTAACTTGGCTGAGCTTAGAGTATTAAAGGTTATGTAAGATAAAAGTAAGGTTAGGTTTTTTTAAGTAGGGTTAGGTAAGGCTAGCATAGGTAGCCTTAGGTTAGGTTAGATTAGATAAAGCGAGAGAGTTAAGTTAAGCTTAGGGTTAGGTTAAGACAAGCTTAGGGTCGCGACCACCCAGTGACCTTTTGGCCTATTTAAGTAAACTGATGTAAGTTCCCGCCAAGGTGTTACGTGACAATTGTTTACGTCGGAAAGTTAAAGCCAATTCAAGTCCAAGCTTCATTCAAGAGTTGCGAAAAACTTGTTTTTATAGGATTTTCAAGAGTCTTCTGTTGTTTTCGTTGTTGTTGAAGTCTTTTCACTTTCATTGCAACAACAATTAGTAAAGTTAAGTAAACGACGTTGCAGTTGCAAGCTGAGAGAAAAGCGCCTGCAAACAGTTGCATTCATGCCACGACAGTGGCCACAACGTGCTGCAGCTAGATATAATGGAAGCCCAGTTGGATATCTATAAAGATGCAGTCGTCTTCATTACAGGCAAGTCTTGAATAACTAATTTTTTTTATATATATTTTCTATATGCACTTTTACTCGATAGGCGCCACTGGTTTCGTTGGCAAAGCTCTGCTGGAGAAGCTGCTCTGGAGTTTTCCACAAATTAAACGCATCTACATGCTCATCAGAGCCAAGGCTGGTGTCTCGCCTGAGCAGCGTTTCCAGAATTTCCTACAAAATGGCATATTCCAGCGTTTGCGTACCGAATATCCCGAACGTCTTCAGAAAATCTCGTATTTTGCGGGCAACATTGAGGATGATAACTTTGGTAAGCGACAAGTCGGAGAGTGAAAATATTGAAAAACAACATAAAAGCTTATGCTTTTTTTTTCAATACCAACAGGTTTGAACGAACGGAACAGAGGCGAGCTGTGCGCGCAGGTTAACATTATTTTTCACAGCGCCGCGACGGTAAGTTCCAGTTTTATACAGTTCCAGTTTATACATATATACATATATAGGTATTTAGATAATGATTGTTTACAGGTGCGCTTCAACGAGTGCCTCAATGTGGCAGCACGCGTCAATTCCGTGGCCACCTTCAATTTGCTGGAGATGTGCAGGGATATGAGGGAACTAAGGGTAAGTCTTTAATTTATTCCTACGGATTTCTCTAGAAGTCAATAATTTTAAAGCAATTGAGGCTTCTATATACTTTAATAGCCTTAAGTTACATTACTACCTTCAAGACACAATTTGATTATTTTAACGGATTCCTTAAGAAGTCGGCTTCCAATTGTAAGTGCTAACAGCTAACAGCTTAGTAACAAATAATATTAAAACAATTGAGTTTTAAACCAAAAGCTTTCATGTACTTCAAGAGCTTTACGGTACTTTGTGACAAATGATTATTACTATGTTGTGAAATGAAAATAGATTCGCAATATGAAATACCTCCGCTCGAAAGAGCAGCAACTTCACCAAGGAGCTAAGCCTGAGGCTTTCATATACTTCAACAGAAGTCTTCAAAAATTAAACGTAGAATTGGTAATAAATGAAGCGAGCAATATTTTTATATTTTACAAATTATGCCGCACTTAATTTATATTTTTATCTATTTTAATCTAATGAACTTTCGGTGAAACTATAAACTTCTTTAAGCTTTAAGAAGCTTTCAAAGTAGTGTTAGAAAACATACAAAATCAGTGCTGGAAAACTAATAATAGATGTAAGAAGTATTGGCTTGAATCGGATTGAAAAAATATAAAAAGTATACAATGTTTAAGTTTAATTTTCTGTTAATATTCTTGTCTTCTACTAATCTAATTTGTATCTATATATAATGTTATATGATTTATTTTTAATCAATACAACACTCATATTTTACAGCGTTTCCTCTACGTTTCCACTGCCTATTGCAATCCCGGTCGCAAATATGTGGATGAGTGCATTTATCCCACACTGCCGCCCGTGGATTGGCAGCAATTTCTGAGCTGCACCAGGAAAATACCCGAGGAATATCTGAATCGCCTGGCCGACTATATAAAGGGTCCACATGTGAACACCTACACATTTACCAAGTCCATAGCCGAGCAGATTGTGAACTCCTACAGGCACCTAATACCCATTGTCATAGTGCGTCCCTCGATTGTGACGGCTGCCTATAGGGAGCCATATCCTGGCTGGATCGATAATATACAGGCGATCAGTGGCATTATGATGGAAATCGGCAAGGGCGGCATTAGCAGCATTTTGGGGGATAAGGATCTGATCTGTGATATTATCCCAGTGGACTTTGTGGTCAATGCGATGATCATGATGGTGCACAAGGCAGAGCTGGGCAGGTAAGTGGACAGAGGAAAGCTTCCTAAGATCTTTCGACTCTAGACAGAGTTTCTTCACTTGCAGCATCAGCATTTGCAATGCCACATCGGGCGTAACGAATCCCATTAGCTGGCAAAGATTGGGTGATCTGACCATGAAATGGGCACGCATATATCCCACCAAACGTATGATTATGTTTCCCAACTTCAAGTATCGTCGTGGCGCCCTGAGGCATGAGCTCGCCGTGTGGATGCTGCATTTTGTGCCCGCTTTATTTATGGATGTGCGTACCTTGTTGCTGGGCTCCAAGCAGCGCTTTGTCACGCCCATTGCCAAAAAATTTCGACAGGCCTGTCTGGCGGGTAGATACTCCACGCACCTACGTCTTAGTTTATAGATAGTTCTAATGTATATTTTCTTTTTTTAATTCTCAGGCAGTTTCTTTTCGCTGAATGAGTGGATCTTTAAAAATCGCAGCCGGCTTTATTTTAAGCATTTAATTGACAACGGCACATTCCCCATGCTCTACTGGAATCTGGAAGAGCTCAACTATGATGATTATGTCAGACGTCATATGATAGGCATTAATAAATATTTACATCGCGAAAAGTTTACAGTCGACGCGAATAAAATGCAGGTGACCAGGTAAGTTTCAATGAATTGCTTGCCAGTATTAAGCGGCTTTGTCAGGGCAAATCAGAATTTCCATTTTTAAATTGGTTAAACATTTAATTGTTAGTTAAGTCTTTGAAAAAGAGTTTGAAGTGGTTCGGCTTAGAAACAAATAATTTGGTACAACTATTTTCTATCAAATTTTCACCTTTTTGGGTGAAATTTCTTAAATAAAATTAAAGTAAATCTCAAAAGACAAACTCCTGGAAAAATGCAGCTTGCTAACTCTTACGGTTTGGGCTGTGCGTTGATCTTCAATCAATCAGTCAGTCAATCAGCGGTTGGCACGCAAATCTATGATTAAAATCTTTCTTTGAATATTTGTAGAATCTATTGGTTCTGGATTTTTGCGCATCTGTGCTTCTATATGCTGTTGGTCTATGTGCTATTATAGACCTGTTTGTCGCATCAATCATCAATAATAAATTGCTTGGCTTTAACTAATCACAGAGAATTGAGTTTTATTAACTAAAAATATATATAATGTATAGATAATATATGGAATTTAAGTAGTTCTTAATTCGATTTTTATAAGCGCGTGTTATGCACATCCGATTCGATGGTC